CCCCAAAACCCCAAAACCCCAAAACCCCAAAACCCCATTTTACAAAATAATATATTAAAAACAATAATGAATGCGTCCAGCAAGTAAGCTGTGGTATAACAACTCCTAAAATTTGAAAGGAAATTCCATAATTTTTAAGTCCTATTAGGCTCTGATTTACTCTATTCAGCTATCATCAGGAGGTTAATTAGAGATTAAGCGATAATCGCTTCAAATATAACTTAAAGATGTTATTGCAACATTTATATGCATTAGTGGCCCTCTGGTCACCCATTAGCTTTAGTTTCTCATAATTTAACTTATTTTAGGCATAACAAAAGATATTGTCTCCCTGATGAACAACTTCTCAGGCCGAATGATGAAATCAGAATACTCAAAAATCGTGACCAAAAAGGAAAGAAATTTAAAGCTTTTACATGGGAAGATGAGCCTTTAATGCCAATGGTGTCAGGAGTCTCATCAAAGGTGAGCTTTAATGACAGCACAATAAAATAAACTAATTTCTGAATCCCAAGACAAATGGAACTTAGAAGACGACACCCTTCTCAAAGAAATTGAAGGCGAAGCCTCCGGTGTCCTTAACCCTGACTCTGTCGATCTGTTAAAAGCAAAACGGAAAGAAGGAACAGTGAAAAACGATGATTTTGGTAACGAAGAAGATAAAAACGAGATGGATAATCTACTTGATCATGGTCTCGATGATTTGTTTTTAGGGTTTGATACTGAAACAAGGAGGGATAAAATTGTGAAAGCTTTACATACACCTTCAGGCTTGTCAGAAAATCTATTGAGGCATAGCTCTAATGCAACCGAGTTTGAGAGATTGGCAAGTCAGATTTTGAATGAGCAAAGTAAGATCGAGTCTAAAGGAGGCTCAAGGAATTTCTCTGAGTCAAAGTTTAAGAACGGTATGAGTGCCCATGCCAGTCACCAGAGAAAGTTAGAAGAAGCCGAGCTTGTTTATATGGAAAATATAGATAACCAGCCTGATGAGAAAGTCGTAGCTAAGCGAAAATGAGCAGCTCAGTATACTCCTTATGGAGTATATGCCAAGCAAACCGGGGGACTTGGCAAAGCGACACTCAAGACTTACGTCAGGCCTGATCTGATGTTCTACTCTAAGTATGATAAACGCCTTCTTGCTGAAGTGCATAAAACTAACAAAGCAACGAAGAAGAATAAATTGATATAATAAACCAGAAAGTTTTGATCTTAGAAGAAGATAATGACTTTCTTCTCGTATGACCGCTGTCTAAGAATGTCATCAACAAGACTAGCAATCCTGAGGAGGTCTTTAAGATTCGTAAGTCAATACTACACCTTCAAGCTAGGCACTTTCTATCTTTGAGTTTAGTTTCAGCATTATTTTAAGGTGATCTAAAATTCTAAAGAATTTGAAGTTAGGAGAAACCTTCTTCCCAAAACATAAAAATTTATTAAAGCCGCTTGGAGAAAGCAAATCATGGAGATCTCTACAAATTTGTGTGAATAAATTTCAAAATTTATCTGAAACTTTGAGGTTTGGGTTGAAATTCAAGATCAGAAAAATAGGATTTTTACATTGTTAAAACTCAATCTATTGGCAATAATTAGTACTACGTTTGGCGACGTTAGATACCACCCAATCTTAATGTCTCCAATCCAAAACCTGTCTAAAGCAACTCAGGGCTTCCTTAAGGCTTAATTTCGTGTTCTGAATGTTACTAGAATTCTGGCTTATATAATCACCATGATGTAGTGATAAGAAAAATTCGTTTTAATATTTCCCAAAAAAATTGTAATTTCAGTGATTTTCAGAATAGCGAAAATTTTATTCGTTTTTGGTAATTTTGCCTGATATACGAAAATTTTATCTGACCAAATGAATACTTTTAAGGCAAGAAATGTTAGACATCTCCTCTAGATTTAGAAGCTAACAAACCTAGCTGCCAGGATAAGCTCAATGGCTGCTCTATGAGTCTATTGATATACTTGAGATCCTTCTCAAGCGTGCTAACTCTTTGATTATAGCTGTAGACAACTTGAAGCCTCTTTTTGATCAGTACCCCGAAGGAACCAGGGGTTATGAGATCAGGGACTGGACAAATTACGGCAAATCAGAGCTAATCACTGCTGATACTTCTTCATGGAAGGAAGAATATGAGTTTCTACATCCTTGCAAATAATGTGAAGCCTCAAGGCCTTGCTTTTGCTACAAAGGATTTTAACCTAAAATAGCATGGATAAGATGGTTAAACAGACTAGAGAGGTGCGGTTCCTCCCTTTTATGAAAAGCGATCCTATTATTATAACCGCATTTGCGAACCAAGAAGGCTGGATGGAAGGCTATACAGCTAGAGCAAGCACCTGTAATGTTGGTGTTTTTCATATTGCTTTTGTCAAAGTCTGATATTAATTTTTCTAAAATTCAATGAATCCTTTGAAAATAGGGGTTTTGGGGTTTTGGGGTTTTGGGGTTTTGGGG